TTTTTTTTTATTATTTAATTATACTCGTTTGTGTATTTGTAATCAACTTTATTTATTTATTTTCAAATCATTAGTATTAGTTGTAATTCCTGTACATAATATTAATTACTCATATTTTGTAAATCAACATCATCAATTTATGTTATTTGTAATTTTCTGTGTATAATTTATTACTTAATCAGAATCAGTTTCACTCCTGCTTGAATTGTCTCCGTTTATATCTTCAGTCTCGTTATTTACCTTCCATAGTCCTTCTACCCGTTTTAGGTGCAGAATGTTTCGTCTAACCACTTGGCCTGTGTTATCATTACGCAATTCTACATCTCCATTTTTGTTGGACTCAACGGTATGTGATGTTGGCTCATAATTGAGGCTCAATTTGTTGGTTTTATGCATATTTTTTACGTAGACCTTCTCCCCTACGTTCAATTCACTATCCGCTGCTCGCCTTTTCCTATCTGCGTACTGCTTTCCTTTTTCTTTTAGTTCTTTGTCTCTATCTTTCATCTCCGAATCTTCCGAGCTATACGTCATGTCTTGTATCATCGGTAATTTGTCTCTGAATTGTCGCCTAAAGAATAACTCCGAGGGAGTTTTACCGGTTACCGAGTGGGGAGTGCTGTTGTACATAACCATATACTCCCGGAGAGAATCCTTCCAATTTTTCTGCTCGGCCTGAGCGATCTTTAGGCGTTTTAAGATGTCTCTATTCTGCCTTTCCACTTCGCCGTTTTGTTGGGGCCAGTAGGGTATGGTGTTATAAAGCTTGATGTTTCTTTCGGAACAAAATAGTTTGAAATCTTCGCTGGTAAATTGACGGCCGTTGTCAGCCGTGATCGACACTGGATTACCTAATCTACTGAAAATGTCTTTCAGATGGTTGATAATTTCTGAGCTCGTAATTGTCCGACAAACCTTCACTTCTTTGTATCGGGAGTAATAGTCCACGATCACAAAGATATAATCATTACTAGGTAATGGACCCATCAGGTCCACTGCGGTGTCCACCCATGGCTCCGAGGGTAGCTCTCTCCTTTTTATAGGGTTGGGAGGATTGGGAGTCGAGACCAAAACACAACCTTTGCACGTCTTGCAAAAGTTCTCGGCGTCTCTATCGCATTTTGGCCACCAGACTTTAGTCCGCAGTCTGGTTTTCATGGCACATATGCCTGGGTGGCCTTCATGTGCAATACGCAATATCGGGTCTCGAAGTTTTTGTGGCATTACGATCTTAGTCCCCCTTAGTAGGATGTCTTCATAAAAGCACAACTCATCTTGGAATAGTTTATAGCCTTTGGTGAGATCACTCCACTGGTTGTTGTAAAGGCCATTCTTGACTGCTTGTATCTCCGCATCTTGACGAGAATGTACCATTATCTCTTGCAATGGTATAGCTGTCGGCCTTACTTGTTCTATCACATTTTGCACGTAATCTACTCCAACTTGTGGTGGCTTTGTAGAGAGTTTGCAGAGCCTCGACAGCGGGTCTGCTATGTTATTTTTGCCAGGGCTATATTTTATTTTGAATTTATAGGATTGAAGTCTCAAAACCCATCTCTCAATGCGGGCGCACGGTTTGGATTTGGGGCCAAATATTGCTTCTAGTGGTTTGTGGTCCGTTATTAAGTCGAATTCTTTTCCATATAGGAACATATTAAAATGTTCAATGGCCCAAACCAACGCGAGGGCCTCCTTCTCGGTCTGGCAGTATCTGCGTTCGCAGTCGGTAAGCGTTTTGTTCCCATATGCTATGATCCTAGAACCCTCCTTATTTGTTTGGACGAGTACTGCCCCCAAGCCCACAGGACTCGCATCTGCAATCACTGTCGTTTTGTCATTGGGGTTGTAATAGCCCAGACGCGGTATATCAGCAAGTGAAGCTTTTAATTTATTAAAAGCTGCTTGCCGAATGTCATTCCAGTAATCAGTTATGTCTGAGTTTCTTCCTGCCTTCTGCCGGAGTAACTCCTTTAGGGGCTCTGTGGTCGTAGATAAATGGGGAATCCATTTTCCAACAAAGTTCACTAACCCCAGAAAGCTTTGTAGTTCTGCAATGGTGGTAGGTGCTCTAAAGTTCTTGATTGCCGACAAATATTTGTCCAGCGGTTTAATTCCATTTTCAGAGAGCTCGTGTCCTAAAAACTGAACACTTTTTACTCGATAAATGCATTTATCTTCCTTTAGGAGCACGTTGTGTGTTTTTAGAACATCCAGGACTTTCTCCAACCGTTCGTCATGTTCTACCTGATCCTTTCCATACACCAGGATATCATCTATAAAGTTAATGACTCCTTCACAGCCCAAAAGTATCCTCTCCAAAGTCTTTTGAAAGATTTCTGGCGCACAGCTGATGCCAAACATCATCCTTTTATAGCGAAAAAGTCCCTTACCCGTTATAAATGTTGTTATCGGCCTTGAGTCAGGCTGAAGCTCAATATGATGAAAGGCGTCCTTGATGTCTAATTTTGTGAAGAGTTTTGCTTCTCTCATCTTAGGAAGTAGTTGGTCCATGGTTGGCAGTGGATGGTTTTCCCGTTTGATGGCCATATTCGCGCGTCGCATATCTACGCATAAGCGGACGTCTCCATTATCCTTCAGTACTGGCACGATCGGCGAGACCCAACTAGAGGGACCTTTTACCTCCTCAATTATATCAGCGTGCAATAATTCATCAATCTTTTGTTCGACTTTGGCTTCCAGTGGAATAGGTATCCTGCGGTAAGGTTGTGCGACAGGTTTTACTGACTCGTCCAACGGGATCTCCACGAGCACATCTTTGAATTTCGGGAAGGCTGTCGTGTCCACACTATTAACGTCCATTGGTATATTGATTTGCAGGACTCCTAGGGAAGTAGCTGTCATTTTCCCAAGCAGATTCTGGGTGCCACCAGAGATGACATAAAAAGTTGCATTTTCTGATTTCTTCCCTAGCTGTATTTCTGCATCAAACGATCCCAGTAATTTTAAAGGAGTTCCGCTTCCATATGCAATAAACTTCTTCTGTGGGTCTTTGCTTTGATTAGTGACCTTTGAATTATTTTCTTTCATGGAGACCCAGGTTTTGTCCGTGATCAAATTGTGGTTGCAGCCAGAGTCTATTAGCATATCTACTTTTGTTCCACCAATCATGCATGGTGCTGTGGAACCGGTGTTCACGTTGAAGATATACTCAGTTTGCTTGCTTGTACATGCTACATTGTCTATCTGTTCTACATTGTTTGCTCCTCTGGGTCTTTTTGAATTATGGTTCCGCGCTACTTCATCTTGACCTGGTTTTCTTTTCTGTACTTCCCTTGTTCGACATCGTATTTGGAAATGGCCTAGAATTCCACACTTATTGCATTTTCTAGTTTTAGCAGGGCATTTGGAATCTCGTGCGAAATGGTTCTTGCTACCACATCTGCCACAACCTCTATCTTGTCTATCTCCTGTGCTCTTGTACTTGTCCGGCTTCGTAGTTATCTTGTTGACACCATGATTTTCAATTTTCTTGTTTTCAAAATCACCCAACTGTCTTTCTACAACCTCCAGTACATTGGCTTCAGAAATAATGTCGTCAAGGGTCATTTTGTCACCGTTTTTTAATATTTTTTTCCTTAAATCATCCGACGAGCATTTTTCGGTTATTTGCTCAATAATATGTTCATCTGTATTTGTGAACTGGCATTTTGAAGCTTGATGTCTTAACCTTACCAAAAACTTGTCAAATTTCTCTTGTGGTTCTTGACGCATTTGACGGAACAGGTGTCGCTCGAAACCCTTACTCTGCAAAGTATTCGTCTAATTTTTGTATCGCAATTTCAAATACTTTGCCATCGTTTACGTCGTTTGACTTTGCGTCTGCTCCGGGTATATTGTAGAACACCTCTTGTAAATCAGCTCCACCGAAATGAAGTAAACATGCTCTTTTCTTTGCTTCCGTATCTATTCCCGCTGCTTCCAAATAGATGTACAGCCCGCGTTTCCATCGCTCCCATCGGACTGCAACCGACCCTATATCACCTTCACATTCGAATTTGTCAAGTGTGAATACCGCCTGAGTCATTATGGTTTACCTGTAGACAATGGGATATAGCGTTACGCAATTTAATGCATTTCATAAATCCCCGTGTTTATTACTAGCTCTAGTGACCCGCAATTTAATGCTTAATTCCTTACATCGCAATTTAATGCACTACTATTAAACTATTAATACTATTAACGCAATTAAATGCATAGTCTTAATATGTTATCGCAATTTAATGCCACAACACTATTATTCGCAATTCAATGCCATGATACTAGGGTGACCAGATTCAGACCCTTTCAAATCCGGGCCTCCAGGACAACAGTGTTGATGTCGGGCAGTGGCCATAGTAAAATTGTTGAAAGTAGGTATTTATATATATTTGTATTTAAGGAGGAAAATGACATTTATGTTAAAATACATAGGTACTTTTATTAGATAGTTACGTACATAATAAGTAGGTAATTACCAGTTATAATTTTAAGGTGAAGCTCAGGCCAAAACCTTAGTAGTAAATAATTTGTGAACAACAAGGTCAAGTTTTTTCTCCCGGACCTCCCTGCCATCTGGCAAGCCTACATGTTACATACAAGTAGTCATAAATAACAAAATGCGGCTTTGTTTACAACGATATGTCGCAATCACACTACTTCTTACTGTTAAAATACCTACTAACTTAATGTTTGTTTATGTTTTCCCATACCATCATTAACTTACTAACAACAACGATCCCTATGCAAAAGTAGCAGCTGTGCGTTATCTGCCCACCATACCTTTCGGTGAACTATGCAAATTGTATTACATATAAGTTTATTTGTCAATATTACGCTAGTGCAATACGCGGTTATGGTTTATTGTGAATTACCTACTACCTGGATTACTTTACTGCCTTTGTTCAGTCACGCATAACAAATAGTGTACCGAAAACATGGTCTAGTATTTTATATTTATTTATTTATTTTTATTATTACTATTATTATTTTTTTTTTTTGTGTATATTATGTAATTGCATATCTAGGCGACCTTGTACGTATCCCTTAAATCACTGGAACATTATGCAGATCACGATAGATATCCGTGTTCAAGGTGCAACCGGTTTAACACAAGCATTAGGTAAACAAAACAAACGTACATAGGTACATTGTTCATCTTTCACAATGAAAATTAATTTCGATAATGGTGGGTAAACAGGTATTTATTACATTCTCTATTGCAGTTAAAGGTACATACGGCGGGATAAAGAAAATAGTTAAAAACGGTTTTTCTTGAAGCTATGATATAATAATAAAAGGTAGGTTGATAAAATATTGACTCCTATAGAATCGGTAATAAAATTCGAGCATTTGTTTGATTTTGCTTTAATGGCGGTTGAAATAAGTAAAAATTGCTACGGGTCTAATAAGTCTTACATTGAAAGAATCTGTTTGTTTATTAGCCAAAACCAAATGAATTACTTCTCTCTTTTTATTTAAATAGGTTAAACAGATTACTTACAGTTTTCCGACGTCGCCAAAATGTTGTAGACACTCATCTACGTATAAGATAAGTATGTATGTATGTTTATATTATATTTGTTGAGTATATGTATCGGCTCGCTATCCTCACCATAAGCATAGTACCAAAAAGGAAAAGTAAGCGAATATTTAAAAGCGTTAAATAAAACTGAAATACTGTGCGGTTGGTAGAGAAATGAAGGGAATCGGAATATTCAAATATTAAAACGAATTAATAGTAGTATAAAATATTGTATTGTGATAATATCAAATATAGAAATCACTAACAAGGAATGAACAAAATTATAATACTATATGTAATTAAAATTCGTCAATAGAAAAAAAGGAATACAAACAAAACAATTATTGTTGTAGACACTCATCTACGTATAAGATAAGTATGTATGTATGTTTATATTATATTTGTTGAGTATATGTATCGGCTCGCTATCCTCACCAGAACACGTCTTCACTCTGCGGCGGTGGGACGCAGACTGCCCTCCCACCCCGCACCCCGCGTGGAGTGTAGGAACGAGACGACAGATGTTTGACAGTGTGTGTAGTTGTATAGTTGTGTGTCTGTTTGTATGTTCGTTATGTTCGTGTATGCTACAATTATACTTATCAAAGAATTGACAGTTCTCGTAGACATTTCAGGTTAATTGAGTTAAACATAAATCTTTATTAAACTGAAACGTCTATGACAACCACGGAATATAGAATACAATTATCATTATAATAATCGTGTAGATTTGTTCCATTTTAATATAGGTACGTCATTTATTATGCAGGTTTATGATCTAGAAAACAATAACCAAAATCTCTATCAAATACACATTTTTGGTTTTTAGTAGTAGTTACTAAGTGTGGATGTAGGTATGCCGTACATTGTTTAAGCGGCTGCATAGGAGAGCTCCTTATTATTTGTATAACGGGCCCGCGGAGAGGTTCTAGAGTATTTACGTGGCATCTGCAAATGAATTGTTGTTATAGTTAAGTACTGGATTTTAAGCGCCATAATAAAAGAAATACGAACACATTAAGTAGGTATTTAAAATGATGTGTAATAAAAGTTTGAAAATCACTGGCAATTTTGGAAAGGGGTTAAGACCGGATATTTTTGTCCGATCTTTACTCGTGATGGGTAACATCGGATTTCAGTCTACAGATGTAGTAGCCGTATCTGGATGAGTTTTATCATGTTATCACTGCGTAAAACTTAGAATTTAGGCAAAACAAATCCAAAATAAGCTATACTTTTGCTAAAATATGTAAATACAAATGCAGGTGAAAGACCGGATAAACAAATATTTTATAAAACTTGCATTGTTTTCTCTAACGGCGCGTGGTACACGTCAGAGTAGCCGGAGCGACTAGCGGTCACTGCGAGGCGGGGTGAAACATAATGAAGTGGCGGGCAATGTGGCTAACATTAAAAAATATAGCCAAATAAGTGGTATATTTGATTTCTACGTTCTTACCCCAGCGCCGATCTTACCCCAACACACCTTACCTGATGGATAAAAACAAGAGAAGCGCTGCAATAAAAAAAGACAAATATATTGAAGATGGTTATTTATTGCTGCCTCGTTGGCCAAGTGGTCGCAAGTCGCACTTGCTGCTAAGCAAGGGGTCTCGGGCTCGATTCCCAGGTCGGGGAACGTAATACTGTTTTTTTTTTAATTTTCAGTAGTAGCAGTAGTAGCAGTCTGGTGCCTGGTATATGGCAATGGGACAATGACAACTATTACATGGGACTCATAACATAAATAGTGGGTGCACATTACGGCACTTAATGCTCAGTGGCATGTAATGTGCACCTCTGCCTACATCTTCGGGGACAAAAGGCGTGATGTTATGTTATGTGGTTATTTATTGATTTAAACTAAACTAAACCGATTGATTTGAAATTTTGAAGTTAGAAGTTAGAAGTTCAGATTAAATCATAGGATACTTTTTATCCCGGAAAAGTGTGATGTTCCCGAGGGAAAACAAAAATATTAGTATAGATGGCGCTGTGTGTCTTCGTATAAATGGCGCTGTATGCCATTTAAAACAATTATTTGGTGTTAATCTACACTTATTCGGTGCACTTTTCGACTCATTTATTTGCTGTTTTATATGTAAAAATACTTAAAAAACACAACTTGGTAACGTTATGTAGTAAATACGGTACTTAGCGATAGATGGCGCTGCGTGTTTGTAAAACGGGGTAGCGTTGTGTTTTTTAGTATTTTTCGCTTTTAAATTTTGGTTCCAACAACTATAATTTATAGAGTTGTTTATGGAGTTTTTTTTAGGTTGTCAAAGGTACACGAAATCATAGTGGCAACAATACTCAACAATTAGCAAATATATTGTACGCTGTGTTTCAACGCTCAATAGATGGCGTTAGGATCGGGTTAGATGGCGCTATGGCTTCGTTACGCGCGAAAGTATAGGTTCCGAGCTTCCGATACAATTATATTTTGGTTTATGCATCTAGCACTAATATTTATTTTTATTCGTTCGCTCTGTAGGTTTGTTTAGGCAAGTGTTATTTTTTCTAGTTAGATATTATTATCTAAAGTGGTTATTTTTTTTCGTCGTTTTAAGTCGCATTGCTCATTGTTTACGTTGATTGATGCAGTAGCTATATATTAGTTAGGTTAGATTAGTGATGTGGTTTATTTCTAAGTAGATGTCTAAAGCAGTTAGGTTTTCGATAATAAAACGTATAATATAGTTTACCACTCAGTTTTGGTTTAACATTGCAAATCAAACCCTTATAGGAAAAAGAAGTCTTTTAAATTAAAATGGGAGGACGGTATTTGTGGTAATGCGAAAATAACTCCTTCTGTTGTTCTTTCACGCTAAACAGCTGAACGCATTTTAAAGAAATTTGATATTAAGGTAGTTTGAGTCCTGGAAAAGCAAGGCTTTACCGCGGCGTAGTTGACAATATATTTTTTAGTTTAACCTTTCGAAATTATTTCTACATACATCCTCTGTTGATCCTACAACTACTTGAGCTGTCATGAATGAAAAATTAAGTTGATTTTATTTGTTTTATATTGTATTCTAATTAAACTTATGGGCTAATGGTGTGATAGTTCAAATGGCTTCGTTATAAACGATTACACGTTATGAAAACAGTTGATTTATTTTTAAATAATCGACAATTTGTTTTATGTCTACAACAACATACAGTAAAACTTTCCCATGAAACGTTATTCCAGGTATTTTCTTAAAAGCTATTGCTGTCACATCGGTACGCATTGCACTTCATCGTTTTATTTTAGGTTTTTTTTTCGCTTAATGGTACAGACAATTAATATTTTCTTATAAAACTAGATTGACACAGTTGTGAATAAAAGCATATATCAATATGGCGCACGGAAAAACGTATCGTCAAATTTTGTCTATAAGTGAAGGAGTGTGGCTACAGGTAAAAGAACGAGACGCCATTATTAGGTTGGTACTTGACATAACAAGGACAAAGATTGATGGATATAATCTTAAATATAAAAAAGAAGGACTTATGGTGTAGAGTCAAAAATGTATGCAAAACCGGTGAAGCCCCAATTGAAACTCCATAAAACTATTATTACACACACAGTTCTGACAAAACAATACTACGAATAAGTGCAAACACGCGGCATCGTTATCTCAGTAATTCAAATAATATAAGCCTTATTATTTAAATGACAGCGCACATTCTCCTATGATCTAGTCACACTAAAACAATTTGTCAATGTGTGTTAGGAACATAGATCACTGATATGATAAGAGAATGGATAAGAAACAACTACGAAAAAATCGTGCCTACATAAACTTCACTTGGTCATCTGTAATGGCGGATAGAACTAGGGATGTAACTTTCAAAACTGTAGAAATATCGACATTTTAGTATTGGTTTTAATTGACTTATCAATAAAATATCATTATTTTATGATTCATCTGGATTTAATGTTTATCTAGCTACTAAACATTACCAACATATTAGCGAAATATATTTAGTAGTTGCTGCGTGCACTATCACTCCAGTCGATCGTGTCCATACATTCACATCATAACTTTCACGATACATATGTATCGAAATTTTCCATCAACTGGTCAACATTTACCTAATGAAGGTTAAGTAATTTTTGAGGGTTGAAAAATAAAACTGTATCAAAGTATTCATAAAATCAAGATTTATAATATACAATATCTTTTTACTTTTCGTAGTGTTTCCCTGTAATGTAATCTGCAAAACCATCTTTCGAGAAGACTCCAGAACTGGTTCCAAGTTCATTTTCATGCCCATATCTGGCTAGAGGCTGCAACATAAATAGTGTAATTTAACTAACTTGGTCCAATCGAAAATAGATTTCTCTATAGACTCTATAGGTACTGTACTTAGCTCTGAACGAAAATGTTTGTACATTACAATGATAGTGATAGATAGCGGAGGAAAACAGAAACATATACAAGAACCTGGTTAATTATGAACTTAATATAAATGTTAAATAAAATGTTAAGTTTGCACCTCTTCAAAAAATACTTCCAAAACTAATATAACAAAACACATAATGAATAGTTTACATTATGATTTACCAATAGAGCTTGTAGCGATAGGGCCCCATCACTTAGATTTACTATTAATTTATTGTTCGGTTAAAACATTAATCTTCAAAATAAAGTTAACAAACAAAGATATGTTTGCTTCTAGTATCTATATTTCCCACATTAATTATTTTCAGCCAAGCACTTCTGCGTTGTTCAAGCACAAACTAAAAAGAAAATTTATAATATTATTAAAATTATCGGCAGAGTTCGACACATTCTAACAAATACTCTAAAAATACCCTAAAGTTATATTTCATTTGTCTGTTTCATTTGAATCCGTCGAGTGGCATTTGATAAAAAAATCAATTTTGACAAAAATGCATTTCCCACAATATTATTCCTTATCTCATATTGTACAAAAAATATTCCTCTATTGTATTAATTATTTATTACATTACGTAGGTATTGACGATGGTGGAATTTTGTCGATAAAGTGAAGTGTTTGACGAGTACTTAATGTTTTTTGCATTTTGTCATTATTTCAAATTAATGTACTTTATCATTCGGAATTTAGTATAGTTCTGTGTTCTCCTTTTGACGCATTTATTATGTACGATATAATTATCGATACGGGAACAATCATGTACATCACTATTTTTAATGAAAAATGTTTTAGACGTATTTCAACTAAAATTAATGAAAATAAGCACTGCATTAGTTAGAAAAGTATTGTATTTAGTCAATTTGCAGCAACCATACTTGAATAGTTTGAAAAACAGAGATATTTTAATGAAAAATAATAGTACTTACAGATGTAATGTTACACCTGCCCGATGACACTGCACCCGGGCATGGGTGCAGTGTCATCGTATGTAGCACTAAAAATATTACCAAACCGGCAGGTGTAAAGCAAGAGTGCGGGGTAAATTTTAGTCAATATGAGTCAGACACTCTCTCGCCTCATTGAAGACGAGACTGACGAGAGAAGTCTACCAACTAAAAAAAAAGTTAGTGAAGTGAGTGTATGCTCAGCTTTAAATGTAGAATCTGACGTAACGTGCGTTGCTTGCTGTGCTGTCAGACTTTGACTTTGATGAAGTATTTCAATGAGTTAATTTTTTGTTGATTTTTTTAATAATAATGGACGGAAAGTTTGTAAGAAGTTTCTAAAAATATAATTCTATGAATATTACAATATTCGTCAAAGTAATTACTTACTGGCTATGCTCATCATTTAATTCTATATTAATAGAAATAAGTATAAGTAACTCTCAACTACACAACGTGCAAATGAAAATCTCCGAATCATGACAAGCCGAGGAAGTTTTAAATCCGCACGAATGAACTACAAAGTTCAAAATGAACAACTAGAAAGTAAAGGTACCAAGCCAACCCGTGAAGAATCCTCTATCCTAGAAGTGTTCGTCTTGATGATTGTGCATATATGTAAAAAGATTCTATTCTTTGACACCAATTTAAAAATAGCCATTTACTTAGGAGCTCTCTTTTTACTATCGATCATTGCGGATGTATTAACATTTCCGAAAACATACTTTTCGAGAAGTGACAATGTTTTTAATCAATATTTTGTGAAGATTGGATGGTTTTGGACACTATTTATGACATTGCCTTATGTTTTCTTGACGTCGTACACGACATGCTGTGGGAAAAAGAGAATAATAGGCATGGGTCATTTGTCAAGATTACTTGTTGCTACTGTGTTTTGGTACACATGGACAACTGTCTTCAATATGATAGAAACAAATTATGGACGTTGTAATACTAAGTTATATGACAACAAAATAATGTGTTTAAAGAATGGACATTTTTGGAATGGGTTTGATTTATCTGGGCACTGTTTTATTCTAATATATTCAAGTTTAGTTATGATAGAAGAAGCTAAAGCTATCAATGGCTGGGAAAGGATAAAAGACTACATAAGAGATGAGAAGTATGCTCGTAGTATTGATGACAAGTCTGCCAGTATAAATCCTTTGAAAAACATCACAAGTGATGAACTAAGTGCATTGAAAGTGTCGTATGAGAATTATACACCATATGTAAGAGCATTTTTAATAGGTATTGCTTTGCTGCAGTTATTGTGGGATGTTATGTTAGTTTCAACGATATTATACTATCACATAATGGTGGAAAAATTCATCAGTGGTGTCTTAGCAATACTCACTTGGTTTGTTACTTATAGAGTATGGTATACCATACCAAATATTTACCCCAATCTACCAGGAGAAGGCATATTTAAATACAACAATCGGATGAAACCTGTGTCCACCACACCCACTTATAGAAAAAAGAGTTCTACAAACGGTAAACATTTTATGGGCATGCCAATTAATGCCAACCAAGACTCTGAAAATAGTAAAGAAGAAACTAAATAGATTGATACGACATATTTTTCACAGGTTGAGGTTTTAGTATATAGGGTTTCTGTTTTACAATAATAAGAAATATGGTTGTTAATTTAATGCTCTAATTAGAGATGTTTGTTAACACTTTAAGCAGTGGTGCATTTTGTTTACCTATTTATTTAAAATTGATTCATATTTAAAGCTGAACTGAATAGTACAAATTTATTTATAACTGTTTGGCAATTTGCATTTTATGGTCTAATTATTTATGTTGCAACTGATTTATATTTAAATTAGGTCACCAAGTCCTTGCATATTAATGGGATTAACATCAGGTACTTATACAATAAGAATGTTGATGAAAAAAAGCAAAATCATGTTATAATTTTATTAAATATCTAACAAAGGTAAATAATACTGTTTCATTGTATTCCAATCTAATACCTAACACTTATTTACGTAAATACACATTAAATTCTTGAAGAGAATGTGTTCTTACAAACAGATCACATGTACTGACAATGATAGTCATAGGTTAATTTTTTTATATACCTACTAATTATGCTGCTCGCATTAGTAAAACATATGATAGTCTGACTATCATAGTCAAAATCAAATTCCATTTTTGTCCAATATACCTAGCATCATAACAATGCTCAATCTTTCTTTGTTATTCTGAATGAGTTAGTTAAATGGTTTAATATTGAAAAAAAAATTGAATGTTTTGTTCCATTTATAACTTTGTAAATAGGTAGGTACCTATATAAAAAACATAATACTTACGCCTTTATTTGCTTATTTACCAAATCAAAAAAACATCTTATGTAATACGTAAATAAAGGTAGTTTACCAACAATGTGAAACAAATATAACAACTTCTACCTAGTTTACTTTGTATTACGATGTAGATTAGTATGTACTCGATTGAGAATTAATTATTTAACGTACAATTTTCTTCAATACGTATGCAATTGCAAAAATAACGCCGACAGAAGCAGCACCAGCTGCACCCAGATATAAAGGTGGCTGTGACATAACTATCATTTTTAGATGAACTGGTAAACTAGGTATTGTCTTTTTAAAAGATTCCCGTTGTTTGACACGATTGTAATAGTTTTCTATTAAAGGGCGTTTTCCGGCTGCCCAATATCTGTCTTCGTACCCAAGTTCCCATAGACGTTGAAGAAGAATTGCCAGGTTGATATCAGCAATACTAAAGTTTTCACAGCACAGCCAGTTACCTGAACAAGATATACTTTTAATTAGGTACTAACAGAATCCAGTAAAGGGATAATTGTAGGTACCTAAACCTAAAAAAATCTAGGTAGTACCAATTGGGTAAGTAGGTAGGTAGGTACATGCTATTAGCTACACATCGAGCTATGCAAGCTAGTCAGCTGCATATTCAGGATTGTATAAAACCCTTATGCAATTTATTTCATATAAAACTGAACATTTTATACATCATTTGTACACATATTCTACATAAACATTCCTTGTATAGGATATGATATAGGATCATATAGATTGACAGTAACATAATATTCATATTAATAGTACCGTAAAACGGGAACAGGAATGGGGTGAATAAATGTTAGAATATTTTCCCTACATTTATTCACCCCTCTTCTGTATCTATTCACCCCTCGAATTCTATTCACCCTGTTTTACCGTTATAGGAATATTTACCTTCAGGTTGCTTTTTCAATTGTTCTTCAATTTGGCTCATAACTTGATCTATAATTTTTAGTACTTTGGTGTACTCTTCTTCATTTGTTATTATTTCATGTTTGCGATCTTGTATCTCAGCTTTGTATAATAATATACTTTTAGCTTTAGGATTTTCTTCAGCCAATTTCCTAAGATTTGTTGAATTGCCCAAGTCACCACCTTCAAAGATGCCAATAAAACTGGTGTATATCACCTATTTTTTTCAACAATATGTATAAGGAGTTTGTTTAGAAATGATCGTAGTAGCATGACTGAAGATAAGATAACACAGAACAAGAACAAAAAGATTTATACTATCTGATGCAGTCATGTTCAGGATTTTTTTTTATTTATATACCTTTATGGAATAGTTATTTGTGCGCACTGTTCAGGTTTTTTTTAGGTATCTATCTTTTAAATGAATGTATTTTGTTCATTTACTTCATTACGTAATTACAAATAATAATTATGTTAACTCCAATACTATTAGCATAATTTAAGTTTGAAATAAAACAGTAGGAATGAAAAGACTTTCATCTACTTAAACTGTCAAACACCAAGTGGTCACCAGTGAGCACAACCTATTGTTCTACAATTGTGTCTACAAAGACGGTACTCAACGAGTTAATATTAATAAACAATTTACACACCTACTTACTTTTCAGTATTTCACGCACTGGCAGTATGAACGGCAACTTAGGAGTGCCACTTAAATGAGGATGAAAGAATGAGCCCACTGTTATCAAGCCACCTGGAAGTGCTTCCAACATCTCTCGGAATCTATTGATGCTATCAATCACTTTGTTATCTGTTGAAACATTTATTAATGGTGTTAATTCTGAAAACAAAAAAGTACATTATTAATAAAAGAAATTCCACTTCAATATGAACTAACAATTTTGGAAATCAAGCAAATTAGGAGATCACCATGGAGTTACCTACAAATTCCTCAATAAATAAAACATACTCCTATGGAGACAAAAAAATCTTCAAAATAGTTACCTGGATCTAAATAATATTCCAAATAATCTAAAATTCTTGTGGAATCTGGAATAACTTCATTTTTTACTTTTAGAACTGGAATTTCCCCTCGGGGATTTATATCCAAAAACCATGATGAATACTGCTCTCCTTTTGTTATGTCCACAATCAATGGCTCAAAATCAACATTTTTTTCGTAAAGACTCATGAGAACCTGGAAATATGTCAATAGAAAAACTTCCAAAATTATTATCGCTTATTAATATTCTAGAATGAACTCTTTTAGTAAGGTCCATCTAAATGGAAAAATAAGTTTGTTATGAGTTGGTCCGCCTAGAACTGTGGTGGATAGTAATTCTTATCTATTATCATTGTACTGGATACTGTAAGCTAAGAGAACAAAATAATGAACACAATATATTCCACTATACTGTACCTTTTGAGAATAAAAGCTGTAATAATTACAGTATAGATAAATGTTTGAGGTTTTTTTACCGGTAGTAGCATTTGTACTTATTGATGGCATAGGAATTTTTTCTAGATATTTCTGAACAAAATGCATGTTTGATAAATGTTGTGAAAGCAACTAATCTAAACCATAAAATTATCTACACTACATAAATCAACACAATTCTTTAAACTTCTACGCGGTTTTTCCGCCACCAAGAAATACTACCAACCTAACAAGTTTTAAATCAGCTGACTGACAGGCAGTGCATACATAAACTTCCGGCGGAAACATAATTTCAGATAAATGCAACAACATATAATTTAGTGTCTTTCACCCATTCACCTTTATATTGTTTAAAATACATAGAAATAACAGTTTCCCATTTATATATTTATAAAAAAGCGTTCTGTTTGATTAGTGGCCAGAGATTTTTGTTTTCCAATATATGTCGAACTAAAAATATCTTAATATCTGAAATACGTGTGTCATCGATACCTTGTTCTTGTTCGAAAACCACACTTGCACATGCGACTACAAATCCAACAGGGTCCATCAGATATTTTCAAATGAGGTAAATTACCTTTTATTGTAGCATGTCACTGTAAAATAATATTTTTTTTATTTTGAAGTTAGTAAGTTTTCTAAAGCACCCCTCCATTAAAAAATATATTATCTATGGTTTATATTCATCATTCATGTTCATCAAGAGACAAGCTAGTTCTAAAATCTTCATTCTACAGTTTTATTTTATGAAGTGAATGAATCAATGAATAGTTTGAGTGTTTCGCGTTCATGTAATTTGTGATGATTCTGTCGCTATTGTATTTTAGTACAAATTAATGTCCAACGCTAGAAAAAATGTACTATGCTTTTAGCGAGGCATAGGAAAAGTAATTGATTGTTTCCAAAGTTCTGTTTATCAACACTAAACTGAAAATGGAGGCCTCTAACAATACTGACGCCGTCAACCTTGGCGTTGGTGAAGTAGAAGCAGAAATTGGAGAAGAATTAAAACAATTAGAGGAAGGAAAAGATTTTGATACACGAAGTGAAGTAACTAGTTCATCTTCAAGCGAGTCAAGTACACCGAGTATTAGTTCAGTCAGCACTAAATCCAAAGAGAGACGCGCAAATCGTAAACGAACTAAGTCAGAAAGCCATTCACCTGTACAACATAAACGACGATGTCTTACAACCACTAACAGTAAGGTGAAGACCTATGATTATATGACGAAGTTGAATTATTTATTCAGAGACACCCGTTTCTTTTTGATAAAGTCGAACAATGCAGAAAATATTACATTGTCAAAAGCGAAAGGAGTCTGGTCTACGTTACCACAGAACGAAGCCAATTTAAATCAAGCTTTTAGAGAATCCCGAAACGTGCTACTAATATTTTCAGTGAAGGAAAGTGGTAAATTTGCTGGTTTCGCTCGTTTAGCGAGTGAGTCACGTCGAGATGTTGCCC